AAAAGATGATGTTTAAAGTAATTTCTGGCCAGGATCACCACTGTGGCACAATGGTCATGATCCAGAATGGGTAATAGTTTTTACATTAGAAAAAAAGAGGCCATCTTGTATCTAAAATCATGGCTGTGCCGGGGTAAATGTGCACTAAGCAGGTATATTTAATTAATAAGCATTTACTAAGCATTTACTGTGTGCTAGGCACTGGGCTAAGTGGTGGTGATACAAAGACAGGTAAAAGAGTTCCTGCTCTCAGGGATCTCATAGTCCATGTAACATTTGCTTGGCCAATCTAATTTTATAATAATGCCATTAAAACATGACCAGACCCAATAGATAAGTGGCCAAAGGATATTATCAAACACTTATCCAAAGAAGAATTGCAAACTATTAACAATCATATCAAAGAATGCTACAAATTGATAATAAGAGAAATGCAAATAAAACCAACTCTGAGATTTTACCTCATGCCTATCAAGTTCGCAAAGATAACAAAAGACAGAAGCATCCAGCGTTGGAGGGGCTATGGAAAAGTAGGTACACAAATGCAACGTTGGTGGAATTATGAATAAGTTCAACTATTTTTGAAAGCAGTTGGAATTATGCAAATAATATGACTAAAATGTTGAAATCATTTGATTGAGAGATTTCATTGCTAAAGTACATATCCCAAGGAGGTTAGTGACAAAAATAAAGGTACCATATACAGCACGACATGTTTAACAGTGCTCTTTTTTTTGTAGTAGAAAAGAATCATAATCATTTACTTTGTTTGTAAATACCCATTAATTATGAAATGGCTGAACAAGTTGTAGTAAATGAATATAATGGTATATCACTGCATTGTAAGAAATGGCCAATATGATGAACACAGAGAAGCATGGAAAGACATATAGGCCAATGTAAGGTAAATTAAGCACAACCAGGCAAAGAACCAGGAAAGCAGTATACACAATGACTGTAACAGTATAAATGGAAAGAATAAGAATAAAATAATTGACACTGAACGCTATAAAATGGTAGTCAAGCTTGGCCCCCAGAGGAGATGTTAGAAGACACTTCCCTCAACTTCTTTACAGAGCTGGGGGGAAATGGATGTACAACACTACACGTAATGTCAAACTTTTTCAAAGAGTTGGTTAATTTTGCTGAATTGTTTTTCCTCCTCTTTTTTATTCTTTGTTATAAGGGATTGTTCTCTGAGACACAGAGCTTGAGGATACTGTGAAAAATGTAGGTTATATGAATTAATTTATTTGCCCCAGAAAATTACAAAACCCAAACCCAATTTTTTTTTAATGTAGGCCAGTTGCCAGAGCTCATTCTTGCTGAACCTCTCCTCCAGCTCCAAAAATGGCTTAGCATAGTCTTCTTATAAAGTGTCCCCTTTCTTCTTCCTCTCTCCCAACCTAGTGTGGTCTCAGAGACTGCCTAGGTAGCTCTAGTGTTTTCCAGCTTGGCCCAGCAGCTAAGCTAATCTCCAACAGGGGGAGCTCTTTGCTTTATCTAGCCTTGCCCTTACTTCTTAGTCAGCATATTCTCTACTCAGAAAAGTTCTTTGTCCATTGGACACCCATAGAGTATTGATTAGAGACCATTGTTGGAAAATGCTTGCCTTGCTAGTGCATGGCTCCTTGCACTTAAAGAAATTATTTATTAATGTTTTCTATTTCTTACATCATCATGTATCCTTCCTCCTCCTACTTCCAGAGCATGGTACCAGAGGACAAATAGTCCTTTTTGGAAAGGGGGGGGGAAGTCAATACAACAATCAATATATTGAAAGAGTGAAAACAAATGAAACATGTAACACTTGTGCACCTTCTACCTCAACAAAAAAAGATACTTGGGGGTATCTTCTCATAAATCTTCATTTGAGTTCTACTTGATCTTTATAATTTTGTTATATTTGCTTTTGATTTTTTGGTGTATTGTTCTTTCTATTTACACCATTTTATTTACTGCATATACTGTTTTCTTCACTCTGCTTCCTTTAGTCTGCATCAGTTCATATAGATCTTTCCACGCTTCTCTGTATTCATCATCACACATAATTTCTTACTGCATTCAATTAATGTACCAAATTTACTTAGCCATTCCCCAGTAGATGGGCATTTACTTTCTTTTCAATTTTTAGCTATCACAAAAAAATGCTGCTATAAGTATTTTGATTATATAAAGATTTCCTTAGGGTATAAGCTCAGTAATGGAGCTGATTCAAAGGGTATGGACATTTTAGTCACTTTATTTACATAATTCCAAATTGCTTTTCAAAATGATTGTGCCATTTCACAGCTCCACCAACAATGTATTAGCATGCATATCTTTCCACAATCTTCCAATGTTGACTGTTGTAATTTTTTTCGGGTCATTTTTGCCAATTTGCAAGGTATGAAGTGAAACATCAGGGTTGTTTTGGTTTATATTTCTCCAGCATTTTTTTCCCTGTGGTTCTAAATACTTTTTATTTCTTCTTTTGAGAATTATTTGTTCATATCCTTTAATCATTTATCTATTTGAGAATGGCTATTAGTCATATATATATATATATATATATATGTATATATGTAAATTGTTTCTATACTTTGGATACCAAATCCTTATCAGAGAAATTTGATACAAAGATATTCCCCCCATTTTACCACTTCCCTTCTTCTAGGTGCATTAATGTTCTCTGTGCAGAAGCTTTTCAGTTTTCAGTTCCCTCTTCTTCTACATGGCATTATATTCCTTCAGTTACTTTACCTTAACCTTTTTTTAAGGTGGCTCTGTCCCCATTAGCTCTCTTTCCCTCACATCTGAGCCCCTCTTTCTATTTAATATTCTCCCTTTCTATCTTCCCCTTGTTCCTTAGTTTTCACATTTTTGGTTCCCCTTTCTGAAAAGGATTTCTCTCATTTTCTTCCTCTTTTTTTTCCTGTTCATTCTAGACCCTTGTTTTCTGAGTCATGACCCACATAATTATCTCATCTCTCTCTTTTCTCTGTATTCTTAATGCAGCCAAAGCTTCCAAGTTCTCCATTCTAGGGTCTCTCCTCTGGTTGCTTTCTGTGACTGCCTTGTAGGGTTTGCCCTATGGATTCTCCTTTTCCATTGTGCCACACCTCCAGAACAATGACAAATATTGCAAGTGTCAGAAAGGACACTGCCCATAGAAGGACCCCTCCCTCACTAGTTTTTGATTATGCAGCCCAACTCTGATCTATACACTCTTTCGTTGATCATTTTTTTTCTATATTTGCCTGAAAATGTCCTCCTTTTGTGTATGCTCTCCTACTTCTCCAGATGCCAGTTGTCTCCAAGGGCTGCAACTCCCTCCCTCTCAGGACAAGTAGATTTTTCCAAGCACCAACTCTCTTAGGCTTCATCCAGCGAAAAGTTCTCATTTCCTTTCACTGACCATCTCTCTTCATCCATGTAGTATTCACTATTGGAACCCACCTCCCTCCAAAGAAAGGTAGTTTTCCTTTTTTCTCTCCTTTCAATCTTTCCTCCTCCTCTTCTTTTCTTCCCCTATACCCTCTTCTTTCTTACACCACAGAGGTCATCTTCTCCTCATTTCTAGCCCTTGATTTGACCCTGACAGCCCATCACTCACTCATCTCTATTTCCCTGTTCACTTCTCTCCTCCTTTATGTATCCTTTCATGTTGTGATGTAGTCTCACAAAAGAAGCTTTCACCTGTAGACAGGATGTTGCCAGGTTCTGTCTTTGTCTTCATCTTCACTGGTATCCTACTCCTTGTACTTTGAATCCTACCTGGCAAGTTCTGGGCTCAGTTTTCTACCTATGTAACTGAATGTCCCCTGAACATTGTTTTACTCAATGTTTTTATGGGACCAATTAATGAATAGCAGACTGATGGAACATTTTGTCTCTTGGACTATTTATTGTAGCCTGAACCCCAGACATTGCTTCCTGTTAGCATCCTTGTGGTCATCATTTCATGCTTTGGACCCCGTTTTTGCTCTAGATTCTACTTTATTTCTTTAGCCCCTATGAATCTACTACATGTCTGTAGATATATTGTAGGGACAATATCTTTTTTCATGTTTTTATTTGTAGAGATTACCACAGCACTTTTCATAAATTGGTTATTCACCAAATTTATATTGAGTTGAATGGAACCCTACCCATTTCACATTCTGACTATTTTAGTTAGTGAAAGACAGGGTAGTATAGTGGAAAGAGCACTGCCCTTGGAGTCATAACAATGCTCTTAATCCTAGCTTTCTTATTTACCTCATCAGTAAAATAGCATGTGCTCAATTTATCTTAAGAGGAGCAGCATGGCATAGTCAATACAGTGATGTCTTGAGAGCCAGAAAGACATGGGATCATGACCCATCTCTGAGTGACTCTGGGCAAGTCACAGCCTCACAGAACCATAGGCAACTGTCAAGACCATAAGTTGTAGAGAAGGTGCCAACCGCATTGGTAGAGGGAGTTCCCTTATTCCTTACCTAGGAGTTACTGACAGCAATAAAAGATTTCACCTGTTTCTTATTTCCATCTCCCTCTTTCTATCTACCTACCCCATGAGACTGTTGGAGGAAAGTTTTTTATAAATTTTAGGTATTATATAAATGTAATTTATTGCTTTCCTTTCTCCTTTTCTTATCTTTCTCCAAAAGCTCTCCCAACTTTAAAAACAACAGAATAATTTGAAATATGTGAGAATATAACTAATTTGCATCACTTAATTGCCTAAGAAATACTTTTATTCATATGAGTTGATAATTTAGGGAAAGTACTTCTAGGGGAACAAAGGTAACACTGAGAGAAATCCATACGTGCTTTATGGCAAACAGTCTAGTAACACAGTAACATGTGTTCTCATATTCAGAACGACTTTTCATCTCTACATTAATCTGCCAGTAATTCATGGACACATTTATCTTTGGTTTTCACGAGCCACAATAACACCAGTACAGCCTTTGGGAGCCAAGTGAAAGCCTTTGACCTAGTGCTTTTGCATAACTCTCAACTCAACCCCCACATAACACACTTCCTCCCTAGAGCTTAGAAAAACAACTGAACACGTGAACTCATCAGCTTTGAAAAATCCTGAGAGAGTGGTAACATCTGTTTCAGGCAAATATGAAGATAGACATCTTGCTTTTTGTTCTCCTCAGCCTCCAGGCTAAAATTCTAGCAGGTGAGTAGTCCTACTGTGCTTTTCTTATTAGGTTATAACCCATAAAGAGATTAAGAACATCATGGCAAGAAAAGCCAAGGACCCAGAGGATGGGCTTGGGGAACTGGGAATTGTAAGAGAAGATTTATGTGCCCAACTTTGGGCCTGTCACTGAGGTCAGATTCAGTTTTTGTGCTTCCATTATTTATTACCTGTGATGTTGTCTTCTTTTGCTAAGGAAAATGGCACAGGCTGTTGTATAACATTCTTGTTATCTTCTTGGAGTTACTGTTCACTGCCAGGAAGTAGGATTCTATTTTCTTTCTCTCCTAGAGAGATACAAATTAAAATGGCTTCCATCAATAGAATTTAAACGGCTAAGTTACTTAAAATAAATAGCACTATATTTGGAATGGGAATTCTTATTTTGTAGGAAAATCAAATAGATGGTCTTTGAGGAGGAACATTTTGATATTTTCATCTTTCCTGTGATCTGAGGCTCATAATGCCCAGTTAGCCGCAGAATTTTCCTTGGAATTGGGTGATATGAGCTTTCCCTGTAACAGGAACTTAAGCGATGAGTGGAGTAGTAAAGAGGACACTTTTATTTTGGAGCCTCCCCCCACCCCGCATCTTTACACTGGTTATTTATTTTCTATTAACAACAAAATGTACATCCAAGTCCCTCAGAAAAATACTTACATATTTTGATGATATTTATGTGAGGGCTTTTGGCATGCATTATTTATAAACTATAAAAAAGGCCCCAAAGTTATTCTCACATGACTCCTTTTTAATAGGTTGAGATTAAACTGTCCTTGTCTCTAACTCAGAAAAACAGTGGATGATGCCTCATTTCATGTTATTTTTATTTGCTCTTCATCTCTGTGCCACACTCTTGATGGCTGGGAAGGCATACAACTGAAGTGATACATGAGAAAGAAGTGCTGCTAACTACAGAGTTGAAAGAAGACAATTTGACAGGCTTAATCACATCAGTAAACATATTTTGGAGTGGTACAGAGACAAACACTTTAATTTGCCTCCAAATTTTTAAGTGACTCTGTCTTGACACAAATGTATGTGCCTGGCACTGTAATGATACAGAATGAATCAATGGCACTGGAGGAAAAAAAAACCTGATTAAGTGAGGCCTATGAAGTATTTAGGACACACAGACCTTGTGGTTGTTCTAGGCAATGTATAAAATCCACTTCCAGGCCACCATAGTTACATATTTGCCTGTGCTTTCTCTATAAATGAAAATCTATGATTAGTTAGAGTAAATGAAGTCTGGATAGCATTCATTTATTTAAGAGATGTTTATTCATGGCATGCTATATGCCAGACATCATGCTTGGTGGTGAGGGAGATGTAAAAATGAATGAGACATGGCCTCAGGATGCTTATATTTGAATAAGATTATTGATTTTTCTTTGTACTCTCAAAGTGTATTGTTTTGAGGAACAGTCAAATAACATCTAAGGACTCTACATCAATCTGAGTGTGTCAATTAGATTCCAAGTTACTTTTGGTAATATTTGCCTTTTTTCTAGTTCAGACTCAGTTTTAGATGAGGTATTTCAAGTCACCAGAGTGATTTTTTAAAGTCTGTATAGTAATTTAATCTTTCTAGAGTACAATTAATCTCACATCATTTTGACATTTATTCGCTGAATTTCATAGCACAAATAGCACCAAGGGAACATCTTTTTTTCATTTGATGGTTAAAGAAACTGAAAGCACCATTGACTAAGGACACATAACAATAACAATAATGATAATGATGGTCATATGAAAAAACTCTGCCGAATTCTACAGATTAGCACAGTAACTGTGATTCAAAGATCTCAAAGCAGAAGTAGAATGCAAGCAGTGCTGTAGCATTTAGAGTTCTAAAGGGAGGGGGCTATTTCAGCTTGTCTTTGTGTCCCAAGTACCTATTACAGTGACTGGCACTTAGGCGCTTAATAGATATTTATTGAATTGAGGGCAGAGCAGAAATGGAAGGAATGAGAACTTAGGGCTTGTAACTCCCATGTGACTTCCCAGGCTTGTTCTGAAATTCATGTAAAAATTGCAAATAGATGATAATAATGTGGATAAATAGGAGAGGTTGGTCAATGAGGGAATTTTTTATTTATTCCAGTTCTCCTTGGGTCTCCAACAAAAAGTTTAACTGAGCCTAAGTTTTGTTAATTATGGTGGTTATTGTCTATTGTGCATAGAACAGCAAAAAGTAGCTAGAGAGCATACAGTGCTGAGCTTAGAATCAGGCTGACCTGAGTTCAAATCTCACCTGAGATACTATTTATGTGACCCTGGACAAGTCACTTAACCTCTGTATCCCCTCAGTTTTCTCAACTGTAAAATAAGGATTAGAATAGCACCGGCTTTGCAGGTTTGTTTTGAGGATCAAATGAAATATTTGGGAAGTGCTTAGCACAGCATTTAGCACACAGTAGGTGCTTAATTAATATTTGTTTCCTTTCTATATAAAGCAGCTTTGACTTAGTAGGTAATTTCTAACTCTTAACTGCATTTAAAGGCTACTGGTAAGCTAATCTTTCCTAGCTTCATTCATTCATTTGACAAACATTTATGCAGCAGCTATTTTATTTTTGTTATTGTGTTTCTAGCATGATTGGCACATAGTAGATACTTAATAAAGGCTTACTAATTAATTGATGAAACTGCTATGTATAAAACACTGTGTTATTCCTTCCTCTGCCATAAAGCATTAGGAACATTTATTGAAATAATGCAAGCAATGTGTGTGTGTATATATATATATATATATGTATGTATATATGTATGTATGTATATATGTATATATGTATACGTGTGTGTGTGTGTGTATGTATGTATGTATTGGATCTCCTCATCTCTACCTGGCTGGAAGTACATGGGCTATTCATGGGCCCTATGCCATTACTGATCAACAAAGAAGCTTTGATATGCTTCATTTCTGACGTGGTCCTATGATTCTTAGGCAACCTGGTGCCCAAGTCTGTCCCTCTCCCCCCACCTCACAGGGATTAGTGCAAATATCAGCTTGTCTCTACTGCAGCTCAGAAACCCCAAGTTTATGAAACCCTTCTGTTTCAGCACTCCCAGATGCTAGGATTATAGCCATATGCTACCATGCTCAGCAAATTTTACAATATTTAAAGAACCTGCATGTTCTTCGTAGCCTGGGCAAAGGTCAAGAATGGTCTAAATATATCCACATTTACCAAGGATGAAACGGAAGTTCCTCGAGGTTAAGTGATGTGGCCAAAGTGAGATACCCATGTGGCTTGTCAGTGGCAGATCAGAGATTAGAATCCATATTTTGTGGCTCTTAATTCAGTGTCCTTTTCACTCTACACACAGGTTCTTAGACTTCATGCTTTTCTTACCCATAAGGAGAAAAATATTTCCTTTTTTCCTGACACTGAGTTAAGAACCCAGAAGTTATCCCATAAAAATAGCATCTTTCTATGCCACAAGTGACATGTATACTAAGTTTCCCCCATTCTCCTAAGTTCTAACTGCCTGTAACATATCCCAGCTCAGCATGTGTACAGCTCATCCAACTGTTCCACTTAATGTATCATCTGCCATAGCACACTGTCCCCAATAACAGCTTCTTGAGTCAGAAGCCGTCTGGCAGTTTTGTTAATGAGTTGAAGTACAGAGCACCTTTTGTTCTTTCCTGGTCTAGTTAGCACCCATGGGGATGGCTGAAAATAAAAATACATCTTTGTCTACAAATGAAATGGGGTTTAAATTGTGTAAGGGTTTCCCGTCCTCAAATTACAAGCCAAACATGTCTATCTCATCTTGGGGAAAAGACACACACACACACACACACACACACACACACACACACACACACACACATACACACACACACACACATGAGTGTGTGCTCTTTGGGGTTTTTTTTGGGGGGTTCTTTTTGTTCCTAAAACATTCTCCTAAAATAAAGGCTATTAATATACATGTTAGCATTATTAACACACTTTGCTTTTTCAGTGAGTACTCATGGAAGTACTACTTAGTACAAGATTTAACAATAATTATGATGATAATGATAAGAGTTAGCATTTATATAATGGTTTAAGATTTTCAAATGCTTTGCAAATATTATCTCATTTTATCCCCATAATAACCCTGTGATATAAGTGTCATTATTATTCCCATTTTTAAAGAAGAGGAAATTGAGGCATATAGAGGTTAAATGACTTGCCAGGGGTACATAGCTAATGCATATTTGACTTTGAACTCAATTCCTTCTGTCTCCAGCACTTCATCTACTGTACCACTTAGTTGCCATTTTGTAAGATTTTATATAGGTATCTTGCATGCATATTTTAAGAGAAAAACCCAAGGTGGTGATAACAACTCAAAGAACTCAAATATGTGTAGTTCTTTTCTCACAATAACCATATGATATGATTAGTGCACATATTATTTCCATTTAATGAATGAGGAAACTGAAGCTCTGAAGGGTAAGGTCAGTTGTCCATAGGCACATAGTTGATTAGCAATGCAGTTGGGACTATAATTTAGGTTCTCTGACAAGTTCAGTGTTCTATCTACTTTATCATATTGATTCTCTGGGTATTGGCCCATTTCAACTTCCTCTCCCTTCCATGTTAAACAAGTGGAGCACTTTTATTCACTCAGTAATTATTTATTGAATACCAACTATCAGCCCTATAGTATGCCAGGTACAGGGAGGGATACAAAAGAAATGTGATACAGTCATTGATTTCTAGGAGAATAATCTGGCTGATCTTCAATCATTGGTCCTTCAATGTGGTTGAAGGACTTGTATTTGAAACAGCTAAGCAACAATACAAAATAATATATAATGATGGACCAGTCAAATGCCATGGAAAACAATTGCTAAAGAATTTCAGAAAAGGAAGAGATTCATATCCACAGGCTGCAATGCTCAGAGAAGTCTTGGTACCAAAGTTGGATTTTGAAAGATAATTGGAAGGGAAGAGAGGGCACTCCAAGTTGAGGGA